GTTACCTTTCTTATATACAGGTGTTATTTTACCAGTTTTCAGGACATCAGGAAATATACCTTTGGTCATAAGGATATTGAAGTAATTCGATAATACAGGTGCAATTACATGAGATGACTTTTTTACTACACTTATGGGAATGTCACTGGCTTTACCATTTTCGAACTCGCTTATGATTTTCAATATTTCGTTCGAGGAGCAATCTTCTAGCCTAATATTTTTTTCATTTCTTGGGTTCAGGAAGTCATAGAAAGTTTTCATGGGTAATATAGGCAGGCCATCAGATAGATTATGCAGTGTCTCATTCAGCTTTGGTGCAATAGAGACAAACCAAGCATTGAATCCATTAGCAATTGCTCTTCTATCAACTATTCTTTGGTTATCAATGATAAATGGGGGCTTGGTTTGCCTCTTCTTTTTGCCCCTGAGTTCGTTAATAATTTGCCAGGTTTTCTTGCTGTTTTCACAGTTGTTTACGATTTCGTTACAGTAATGCCAACGTTTGGCAGCTTTAATGATAGCTTTGAGCATCCTACGATAATCACTAAATACTTGGTAGAGCAAGAAATTACCACCAGGGTTCTTATTAGTAACGGTGTCAGACCACTCCTTACGCAGTTCATGCTTTCTTTCTACAGACTGGATGATACTGTCTGTAATCCATGGGTTAAGTTTGGGAGTTCTTTTTGTCACTTTTGGTACCTCCAGTTTGCAGTGTTTGTCAAGTGTCTGGTCAAAACATGCCGTGAACTCATCAAATTTTGTTGAAGGAGTGAGCTGGTTTACCCTCACCTCAAGTTCAGATACAAAGCTTTTTAATTTGGAACTTGAGTAATCATAATAGCGGACATGTTTCTGAGGCTCTGTATTGCGAGGGGTCTCTACTGAAGTGAAGGTAAATATAGGGGCATGCTCACCAAGCCGTTCTTCAATAACACCTGATAAGACTATATTCTCAATTTTATTTGTTAAAATGTTATCGATGCAGGAACTTTTACAGTTTTGACGAAAATGTGTTGCAATGGAGATAGTCGGGTAAAAGCCATTTCTGTATAAAGTATCCTCAAAGAGCTGGGAACTGGTAGATATATTAAGTATGTTTGAGTTAAAGTCTCCCAACAAATTGACAGTTTTCCCATTTAGCTGCTTTGCAAGTAATTCAAGGGTTTCACAAAAGCTATCAAAGCAGCCATTAGGGGGTCGGTAGATGACTCCATGAACAATTTTGCAGCCTGCGTTATCTGTGGTTTCAACAAAGAGACTCTCAATATTTGTAGTACAGTGTGATACATTTTCTAAGACCACAGTGTTTAAATGGTCAGATACATAGAGTGCAACACCGGTGCCTTTTTTCTTACCTGCCAATGTTTCTTGATAGAATCCTGTGTATGCTGGAATTTGGTACAGACCCTGCTGTGCAGGATCAGTATTGGTTTCAGCAAGACCAATCATATCAAACGAGTGCCCTATACTTTTGAGTTCAATTAGGAAGCTATCAAAGTTAGATGCGTTTCCATCTATATTGTAGAATAAAGTTGATAACATAGATTTTTTTGAGGAATTGAGCTGCTTGATTGCATTTAAGAACTCGAGTTTAGAGTAGCGACGGCAACTTTCAAGTACATGGGCATATGATGCAATTAAGGCATCCTCCTGGTTTCTATTATCATAGAATCTATCAGAATCAATAGATTCCTCATCAGATGGAAATGGGCAGTACCGTTCTTCTGCAGAACTGGCACACTCGCAGCACATCCATAGTCCATTTTTGCATGAATATTTAGCTGATTTGAAACACTTCGTATGAATGGCATTATTACAGTTTTCACACTCTAGTAAAGGTTGTCCGATATTAATAGATCTACTGCATGGCTCACACACATCTTTAATAATTTTCATAATCATTTTTACTAAGTGGGGTTATTAGACCCCACTGACTGGTTGTGTTTTCCACGTCTTGTCCGTTCTTGCCTCTCTCTCACATACACCCAATGCTTCACACACCTCACAAATTTGGTAATACCATAAACTCCTAAGTGAATATCATCACCACCTCTGGTCAGGTTGGTGGCAAGGAGTCCCTTGCTATCTAAAAAGTGTCCAACTCCAAGGTGCCACACACTCTGGTTAAAGTTGGCATTCAACATTTCTCCAACAAGCCGATTGAAGGTCATGATATTCTCGTTCATTTGAGGTAGCCTGGTTGGAAGGACTGCTGCTACAAAAACTTTGATCCTAGGGGAGAGCTTTTTTATCTGTTGGATTTTCATGTGGAGAATGTCAACCAGCTGATGGATTGAATTTTCTCCTCTAAGGCTGTCTGCTCGGAGGTCATTTGTACCACAAACAAGAACAGCGTTGCTGTATCCGATACAGTGACAAGGGTCAATCAAACTAACTTTGCTTGCCTTAACTCTTTCACCCGGGAATGATTGACCCATTGTTCCAGCACCACTACCAAACTTTATTGTTTTGGTGTTCGAATCTCCAAGTATGATGGTGCTTCTCCTAAATTTTTTGTCAATTGCTCTAAGGGTAATGGAATACCGGCCCATAGACGGGTTTACCGGAGTCTGTTGGGTGGGTTTAATCCCGTGTTTGAACCATGCCTGTGAGAAACGTGTCATGGTGTAGACTGAGTTCGATTCTAGGGACATTTCTGTATTTTTTGTAGGTGATTGTCCTTCATGGATGGGCATACAACTTATTTTTCTAACTTCTCCTATGGAAATTGTTGCTATATCAGAGCCAGCAAGAATCTCTGGCTCGTCGTCACAGTGGAAGGGTAACATACTTACCTCTGTACCACTTGGAGGGAAGTAGTTTATAAGTACAGAGTTAGGCTTGTGCGTGAGTTTACACTGAGAAGTGACTCTATCAATGGCTGCTGATAATACTGGTGGGATGGCTGGTGAGGACGGGGGATTTGAGTCTCCGGAATAAGTGTAGCTTTCGCCGTATTTGAGCACTGACCTTCCATTCATCTGGTTAAACTTACCAGATTCTTTGCACTCAGTGAGAAATCTGGATACCTCGTCAAGCAGTTCTTCATCCAAGATGTCTACTTGGTAGTCCTTTAACGGCACCCTTACACATTTAGGGAGAGCTACTGATGGTTTACTCTCTTGTATAACTGCTGCAGCATAGGCAGAGGTGGAATGATTCCTAGATTTCTGGAAGGAGTGGATCTCTCCACTCAGTTGCGAAAGTCTTGCTTCCAACGATGAAATCTCCACGGTAGGCATGCTGTAAGATACAGCACTTGAGATGGCATCAGATACAGCTTGGATGTTCTTACTGTAGTCAACACTAGACTTGAGAGCTTCATCCAATTTAGCTGAGGTGCTGCTGTTTGGCTTGGAATGGATTGACGTGAAGCACCATGGACATTCCCAGTACTGAAGGATGGCATCAAGATCAATCTGACCAATCTGGTTTGCTCCCTTAAGGTTACTGCAAGAGGCGTGCCAATGCTGAGAGCACCTGCAACATTTGAGAAGCCATTCTTTGCCCTCAGAGCTTGCTCGACAGGGACAGTTACCTTTAATGGCACGTTGCTTCGGACTTGGCTGATCTTTTTCTTCTTCTTCAGTATCAGGGACAAAAGGATTTCGCGGCATGTACGAAACCGCGAAATTTCCCATTCTCCGCGACAAATTTTATGTATAGTTTAATATACCGCGAAATGTATTTCGCGGTATCGCGATTTTTGGCCAAAATCGCCGCGAAATCCTTTTGTCCCTGTTCAGTATGGAAGGGTGGGAACGGTTTGTACATAGGACTCATAGGGCTGTGAGGACTACCCCTTAGGCTGCCAGGGTCTATTATGAGGCTAGGACTAATTTTTAGGGTAAGAGATGTAGGTGGCTGTAATGTTGATAGTCCCGGTGAGGAAACAGTGACCTGCTTATCAGCTGACTTAGTTGGCAGGCTGTTTGATCTTCGTCGTCCTGAGATGCTGGCTGCAGGGTTCTTCTGATTGGCCTTGCTTGTGAGGGGGCTCTTCCTGCGAAGAGGATTAGACACTTTAGGGGAATGAGGTGAGGTAGCCTTAGCCTTAGCAGATGCTGCAGGAGAGTTGTTTCTGGGCGAGCGTCTGGTTTCGAGTGGTGGTGTTGCAGTTCTGTTCATGACTGTGGATTGATCAGGGGGATGTGCTGAGTGCCCTCTGGGCTGCCACCACCGGCGAATAAGCTGCACCTGAAATGAGTAGATCATGGGTGGACGTCTGATTTATAATGGAAAAAGGGAACATTGATTACTTAGAACTATTTAGTAACTAGTTTTTTCATTAGATATACCATAAAGAAGAATTGATTTCGATTGAAACATGATAAAACAATAAGTTGCTTTAAGGGTGGATGGTTGGGTAGGTGAAGTGGTGGATGTTGTTGATTGGATTTAATGGTTTGATGAAGCATATGTATTGTTTGGAATTTCTTTATGGGTTAGAGGGTGGGCTAGGGTTGGGTAAAGGGAATTGTGGGATTCCTAGGTAAGGAGACATTGTGAAAAGCTGGTAGAGTAAATATAAATTGTAGTCGACGAGCTTGCCACAAAGGGATTTAGAGTAAAATAAGCCACAACAATCAAATAATTTGGTTATGGTCATACAATAATACAAGTTATGAAAGGTAAATATATATCAAAATCTGTTTGAATTTGGGTAAGAAACTTGTATTATATAATGACTATCCAATAGACCACTGACACAAAGATACATGTAGTTTAGTTAAATAAAGTTTACACTTTACACACAACAAATAATTTAAGGAAGAGACCAGCCAGAAGCCAGCAATCAATGTCAGGAGCTTTTAGGGAGGGGCATTTTATGAGAGGATGTTGGTATGTGTTGTGATGTGGAATTTCATAATCTACTCATCTTCAGTTGGAGCATCATCGCCGGCAGCAACATCCCTTTGGACACCTTCGCATCATCCCCCAGTGATCATTCTTTTACTCAGACATTGATTGCGGCTCGAAGGCTCGGTCTACATCCTCAAATTATTTGTTATATAGTAGTGTTGAAAGTATTAAAAATTTGCTTTAGGTATCTTAATAACTCTGACTTACTTGACTTAAGGCGGCTTCAGCGTCCGAGTATTGATGCGCTGTCTCCATAAAACTCTATCCGCCATAAGTCCGCCCATTTCTCCAGTGTCGTTGAGACCCGTGTCAGCTCGTAGGCTATCAACATAAGTCATGGCTGGTCTTAATAAGCAAACCTTTATGTACACTGTCAAAGGCTTTATTAAAAATCTATAAACACCATAGTGGCCTTCACACTCATGGCCTTTAGACCCTATATAATTCTTCACAGAACAAGAATGTGCGAAGTTGTAGAGCAGCCAGGTCTGAAGCCATTCTGGTTGTCTCTTAGTTCTTCTTCAAGTCTTTGCTTCATCCTGCTCAGCATTTTGATTAGAGTTTTACTTTTTGTTTCTGATTTCTAGAAAATCATAAGACGTGGCACTTGGTAGCACTCTGTTTGCAATAACTACCTACTAATGATATCCATTACCCATGACATGTATAGTTTCTTTTAGGGGTTATAGAGGTGTCAGGATTTTAGTATCCACAGCAATATATAGGTGATCTGGAACTCAATCTTATCAATACTCCTACATGATTTTATGGAGTGATTGTTGCAGTGAATGAATTTAATATATATTTTTGTTAAATTCCTATTTTGGACTCTTAAACTCTTTCATTTTATATGTTATTGGATTGAACCAAGTAACATGTTACTCTAGCGAGATCTCCATCCAAAAAGATTAGTCTGCGCGAGCTGTTTTATTACTTTACTTATACATCTTCGGAGGGTAGGTAACATTTCTACTACATTTAAGCTCTTCCTATAGACCTGCCTCTTGATCTCTTCCTATTTTTGGGTTGTCATTCAAGTAGACAGTTGGGTAACCGATCTTCAGGCATTCTACTGACAAGTCCAAAGCAATGCAGCTATTTTGTTGTAAGTATGTCAGTAAGGGAAGTTATTAATGCCCTTCTTAAAACATCCCTTGGACCAAGAGGAAGATTAAGTGAGTGTGTAATGTCACCAGACAGTAACCACCAACTCTATTCAAAGATTCAAGATCCACTTGTCACAGAAAAATATTCGAAGAGATTCTTTCAGATATTATAGTATATAGTACATTAAAAATTCAAGGTGTTATATTATTATAACCTGATCTTGCCCTCCGGGGTCCCATCATAAGCACATTCAACTTAATCTTATTCTTTACCTAGATGTTACCTGTAAATCGCAGAACTGGTTGGACAATGGACATCAAGACTACTGTCACAGCCTGGTGACCTAGAGCTAAATGAGCTACTGTTTCCTGTGTAGACCTCCCAGATGCTGGACAGGCTAGGATGTTCCTCGCCTTGTGAGTAACTTCAAGATCAGGTGTTATGGATTTAATGAAATAAGGCCAGAGGGGGGCGGGGGGGGGGGGGGGGAAGGATCAAAATTTTCGACCTAAATTTTATTCTCTACCTAAACAAATTCACATTCATTATTCAATTGGTGTCTTAATTATGGATAAACTGGACCTGATAATGTGATGTAAGATGACGTGATAATACAGAATAACATGAAAGCCTTCATTCAATTAACCTCATTTTCACGATAGGAGCATATAAACTTCCAAAATTAGGGGATGGGCAGGTCAAATCATAGTCCTAACTTCAGGATATATATAGGCATTCAATAACTATGATATATTGACTTGAAATTGAATATTATCACAGGGAAAATATAATGACAATTCTTGTTGACACTGAGCACTAAACTAATGACAGCTAAGTAAAGATTCAGTTCAAGCCATCTAAAGCGACTCATGAATATGTACATTAGAACTTATTTTTATGAAGTTTGGGTTTTATGAGAAAGTTATTATATGCTACTTATATGAATGCTTTTTCAAAGAGATGCGTATTTATTCTCTTTTTAAACAAGACGATATCGGTTAATGTTCTCAATTGCTAAGGAAGCTGATTCAAACAAAGGGTCCACAGTAACTAAAGCTTCTCTCAGTTTTACTATAATTTGAAACAGTAGGAACATTTAGGAGGAAATAGTCTTGTTCAGTCCGTAGTACACGTACAGGTTGACTCTTAATGTTGATGCATTTGGTGATATAATTTGGAGCTACGTTGTTGACACATTTGAACACGGTTAGAGCAATCTTATACTCTATTTGTTGTCTTATTGGAAGAAAATGGGCTTTTTTCAGGAATGGAGTGACACTGTGAGCACAATGTTATGTTATGATTACCCTTGTCAGTTTAGTAAACAATACCATATGGACAGATGATTGGGAGTTAGTCAAGAGACCAGTAATAGCATAGTAGGAGCGTAGAATGTTTGGGCCCAGAAAAACATGTTTAATACCGCTATGAACCCGTCATAAGCCGGGGACTACTATGAAAGTGATGATGCTGTGTTGTTGAAAGACCTTCGACCAATCAAAGATGTACCTCATCACGCCAAGCAGTTATGCTTGTAGGTGAATATACACTTATAGAGTACAACAACTTTATAACACTCCTCAATTCCTTGTTTCTGTTGTAAAAGAAAGCACACAAATGACCTTACTTGAATATTCCAGCTGACACTGTTCTTAACGTATATAATAATCAGTTCTGCTAGGATACAACCAGATTAGTTTTCCTATTTTAAAAAATCATATAGTTAATCCATAGAGTTGTGTCAAATGATATTGAATCTCCGAAAAAGAGTGACAGAGGTTAAGCTCGTTAGGTTTTGCTCATTAAATGTTTAGGCAGTAATTTTTGATTAATTGTTCTAATTCTCGTTGCAGTGCCCTCGAATCATTGATAAACAACGTAAACTCAATTTACATAAACCAATATTTTATGGCAGAGGCACATATTAGGTGCGGTAAAAAAATCGAAATTATGCGGTACCGCACCCGACTATAAAGGTGAAATGTGCGGTAAGGTGCGGTAAATTTTTACCAATTATGCGGCAAATGTGCGACGATTTTTTCGAAATTTGTGCGAGAATTGTGCGGTTTTCTTTTGCATTTTCTGAAGGACTTTGGAAATTCTAAACGTATAACCGCCGCTCTTATCAAAAATAGGTCTGTTTATGTGTTACTGAGGGTGTAGTTCTTTACTAAGACCATGATTGAACCTATATTGAGATTTAGTTATCTGAGAACAGTGACTTGATCTGGTAGAGATCAGGAGACAGTTATTTGAAGACGCCTCTTGAAGTCTTGATAGAGTCGATCAGATCCCATGCGTGATCGCAAATATGTGACACGATCGTCAGTACTTGTAAACCATTTGATCCAAGATCCATTAAGCCCACTATAAAACCAACGCTACAACGAATAGAGCTCATTACCCGATAAAAAGGGCTGCAGGTATGATCGAAGTACGGTAACGACTAGGGTTCCATAACGGCCTGGGTCACGGTCCCGAAAGGGCCTGGGTCACGGTCCCGAAAGGGCCTGGGTCATGGTACCGAAAGGGCCTGGGTCACGTGGTAACCGGGTCACGTGGCCTAGGCATGAGTTCCAAAAGGGCCTGGGTCAGGGTCCCGAAAGGGCCTGGGTCACGTGGTAACTGGGTCACGTGGCCTAGGTATGAGTTCCAAAAGGGCCTGGGTCACGGTCCCGAAAGGGCCTGGGTCAGGGTCCCGAAAGGGCCTGGGTCAGGGTCCCGAAAGGGCCTGGGTCACGTGGTAACTGCGTCACGTGGCCTAGGTATGAGTTCCAAAAGGGCCTGGGTCACGGTCCCGAAAGGGCCTGAGTCACGGTCCTAAAAGGGCCTGAGTCACGGTCCTAAAAGGGCCCGACTTTTAACATATTTTGGTTTTTACACTCGAAAATCTTAACGCGAAAATTTCAAAATTATGCGAAATTACGCGGAAAATGCTAGATTATGCGGAAATATGCAGAAAATTACAAAATGCGCGGAAGTGTGTGGAAAACAATAAATTATGCGGAAATGTGCAGAAAACGGTAAATTGTGCGATCCCGCACCCATCGCACCTAATATGTGCCTCTGTTTTATGGTGTTACTATATCCGCCGAAATTCCCTTTCCTCAGGAACGAAAAATCTATTATACCATAAATTAAGTCAAACAATTGCCTAAAATTGTTGTAAACTAAATTTCATGGGCGGACTTATTTTAAAGGAGACTAAAATTTCAGCAGAGCATATACATGATATATGATTTAACGAATTTAAGTATCGTTAAATTTATACAAGTCGCTACTGCGTGTTATAGGTAAATGTATGTGATGCTATGTAATTGATGTATGTAATGTTGACTCGTCTTTAAATAATTTCCCAGATCGAAAATATTTGAGTCAAAAAAGCTAGCTGAATAAATTTAAAAAAATTAAATGATATGGAAAAATGGTCTTAAAAATACGACTAATATTGTTGTTGACTTGAAATTAACAAAATTTGTGACTTATATTATGGTAACCATAATATTTATGGGAACCAAAGTTATTGTGAACCAAATTTTTTCAGGCATGGTGGGCTGAACATGGAGCTACCGAAAGCTGCGAATCATTTAGAAATAAACTCAAATTCAGCAGACAGACAGAAGCATTAGTTTGAGTTAAGTTGTAAAGCTTCTTTAAACTTTTTCATCACAAAGAGAAATTTGTGTTAAATAGTAGTGGTAAATTTAAAGGGCGTGTTGGTAGACCTAATACAAACTTATATCAAATATGCTTGTTGATGACCTTAAATATAGAAACTTAGAACTTAGAAATTTGAGTGATTTAAATGAAATAAGGGATATTGCTAGCTGTAGGAAGTGTTGGAAACTGTTGTACTAGGCACAGATTACGTAGTTAAGATGTTTTCTTAATGGAGTTCTATTAACTATGTATGATCCTGTTTTATAATAAGATTATTTGTATAGAGTCGTATATAATGTTTCTTCTTAGACTGCCAGAGAGCACAGAAGATGGCTACTAGACAGCTAAAATCGATACTTTACGAGCCACCAGGGGATGCCTTTTTTCGATGGA